AAAATTTCATGCTTCTAAATTTGCATAAAAAGTGGTATATATTTTGTTGAATTGCAATGACAACTTACGTATTGTTTATACTTTGTCATTTAAATAAATTTTGAATGATTTTAAAAAAACTTTGACAAAAATAAATAAATATTTTATTCACTTGTTGCGCGGCTCTGAGAATGTACTTTTGACTTTATATATGTGGGCACTCAATGTATACAAGGGTACACCTATTATAATTACAATATTTTTTTCCATTCCACCTAAAATATTTATTCTTGCCAATATGTTACATTTTTTATTTATAGTTGTGAACGTGGCTATAAGTTTGTGGTCTAGACGGCCGCAATGGGATTGCAGGCAATGAGTTGCCTCGTTATGTGATCTTAGTCACCTCAGTTTTAGTCTGAACGGAGGAGGTACATGAATGAATCTGATTCGGTGCCTATCTGTGACTTTTCAAGGTTTAGCAGTCGAGGGTGTGTTCTCGGCGGGACCGAAATCCGTGCTCCACCACTTGCAACCTCTTCATATGCGGACTGGATTGGACTAGCCACCACCCTCCCTCACAAGCCAAGAGATAGTTGGATAGATAGTCAATTAGCTGGTAGACAGTAAGAGCAGAGCAGCGGAGAAGAGAGTGGTTGAATCGCGCTGATGCTGCCGAGAGTCATATGAAAGACTAGAAAGGAAGCCGAGAGAAAAAATCCATGAGAGAGAATAGAAAGTTGTGAGGGCTTGTAATCTTTGTAACCTCATATCATTATTTGTTAGTGGAAACAATCTCCAACCAGGAAGTAGGACTTTTTTATCCGAACCGGGGTAAATCTTGATGTCTTGTTCTTTTTCATCGACAAATGTTGGATTGGAGCCAGCGAGGCATACATACATTGTGTTGTGCTAGTATATCCCATATTCCGCAGGTAACCGGCCTCGAACCGATCTTACAATAGTTTCTATGATCCAACATAGCAACAACTAATTCTTTTTGCAGCATTGCTTCTATGATGTTATGAGCACTAGCAACCATGGCTTAAAACAAAGTAAAAATACTTTTAGCTTATAAATCTATTGGTTTAAAAAGAAGCTAAATGTTATCAATAAATTTTCACTTTCAAACATAGTTTTGATTTGAGATTAATTTTTGTAACATATTTTCAAGAAATTATAATTTAATTAGATTTTAAATTTATTTTATTCTTCTAATCTATTCAATATTTTTATCAAATATTTTTAAATATTTATGATATTTATTTTCTGAAAGTATTTTTATATTATAATTATCATAAGCTTATATGAATCATAAAATATGTTTTTACTTAAAAGTTAATAAAACTAAAGTTCAAAATTTAAAAAAAAATTGCACAATATTTTTATTTTTCAAAATAATAAATTCTCTTTTGAAACAAAAAAATCATTTCATAAATGATATTAGTATGAAAATATTCTTAATATATCAAAAATTTACAAATTAAATTTTCTCTTTAATTTTTTATATAAATATTTTTGATATTTTTTGATAATACTTTATTTGAAGATAAATGTTTTTAAGTTATTTCTCTTAAAATGTAAATTTGAAAAAATTTATATACTTTTATAATATACATCTTTATACTTAAATTTAAAAAATAATGTAGAAATGATATCAAAACGCGTTGTGATAGTCAATTGTTAATTGTGCATTGTTTTTTAAAGTAAAGAGCCCACACATTTGTCTTAAGATTGGATATGAAACATTGCACACCTTGCTTAGACCTATTTTATTGTACTTAACTTCTTCTACCCGTGATTTGAAAAAAAAACATAAACTTTTTTTATATCACAGCAATAATGTATTATCAATTAAAACAAATTCTTTGATTTATACTAGATTTAAAAATTTTATTTTTTAAATTTCAAAATCAATATTGGAGCCCAAAATGATGCTCATCTATATTTTTAATATTACAAAAATATTAAAAATATATTTAATTATTAAAGTTAATTGTAGTTTTTGAAATTTCCTATTAGCTAGTGAGCTTTAGTGTTGAGGAATTTGTAGCATTTATCGATCTCACTGAGTAAAATTGCAATAAATATATTTATTGCAGTAAGTGCAGGTGATTCCAAGTACTTTCGGAAAAGTGAGTACATTATGTTGATATTAAATTTTAATATTAAAAATGTCCAATGATACGGTAACGACAATTAACGATAATTTCATTAAAATTGTCGTTAAACTATCGTTATCATTAAAAATTAAATTATGAAAGGTTCGTATACGAAATTTTTATTACTAAGTTCTAGCTATAACAAAATTTCTGGTGTGTACACGATTGCCAAACACACTGAAAAATTAAATTTTTTAGTCCAAGTTTTTTGAAAGATAGATTATTTACCAACATGTTGAATATGAGAACATAAATGTTTGCTGTTAAATTTTTTAATATATATTATTATTCAATTATTATTATTTTATGTTTTCATATTAAATATGTTGGTAAATAATCTATTTTTTGATAAACCTGATGTTATTACGGGAAGTTGGATGAAATTTTAAATAAAAATTCTATATAGGCTAAATTTTAATTTATATTTTGCCAAAGAAATGTCAACTTGTAAAATAAGTATTCAAAATATTTATAAAATAGATGTAAATCATTTAACTCAAATTTTAGAATATTATCTTAACTTTTTTGCTTGCTATTTTGTTAAAATTTTCAAACAGATTTTAGTAAAACAAAAAGAAAGCTAAAGGTTATGGGTCAAATAGTAAACTCAGCTTTAATTTCCTAAAGTAGATTAGATAATTTGATTAATGCTTGAACATTTAAAATTTTTTCAAATAATGAACAATTATTTCTTCTTTTCAAAAAAAAAATCAAGTTAAAAAAGACATTTTTTAAAATGAATTTGGATTGCAAACTATTAGCTAGAAAATTAAAAATTTTAACAGCATCTATAATTTAAAAATTTTACTTATAAGTATTACAAATATTATCATTTATGTACACTTATACTTGAAAATTAGCTTTTCAAATTCAAGGTCAAATTTTGGTTTAATTATACAGATATTATTTTTCATTTTTATAGAATATATCTATTGGTATATGAGGAAAAAATGTTATACAATTTATTTTTATTTAAAAGCCCTAATATGAATATTTTTGAATATTAGAAATTTTTATGGAACATTTAATTTTATAACTTAACTAAATATTATTTTTAATGTTCAATTGATGGATAAATAATATTAACTTGTATTTTAGTTCGTTAGCTGGCACTGCTTAGATGTGAGGTTTTTATTTTTTTAAAGATAAATAGAAAATTTACTACCTATTCATAAGCTAGTTTTAAATCATTTCACTTTGAATTTGAGTATTTCAATTTTTCTTTTTCCGAATATACATGGTTTAAAATATATAAAATTAGTGTTGTTAATTCAAAAAAAATTGTCATTATTTCATCAAATAAGTTTGAATAAAAAAATTAGGAGTTAATTTTATTTCTTAGTCACCTTGATTTTGGCTTTTAACTTTTTTTCAAACCAAAGTTTTTTTTTTGATTAAAAGAACAAAAGAATTTGAATTTTTTATCTATTTTAATTTACAAAAAAACATCTAGAATTTTATTAGAAGAATTATGAAACATTTATAAAATTTTATTGATAAGCCAAAATTTTTCACTGAAAAAAACATGCGAAACTCAATAAGTTAAGTTTTTTCAATTTTTTTTCCCACAAATTGTTTGAATCTAAAACAAAGTTAACAAGACTTCATATAATTTTTGAAACTTGAAGAAATTATCAAGTCAAAAAGTTGAACAATCTTTTCTTGGTTGTTGATATAATCAAGATCTAATAAACAAAGATATATTTGTTGATGGAATCCATTGTGTAATAATGAAAAACAAAATATCAATACATTAAGCCATATTGAACATATCGGTATCTAATTATAATGCCTAAAAAAATTTCAGTGGTTTATTGTATCAACGTTAGTTGATTGAAAATTCTCCTAAATTATTATTTTTTGAGTTATTGATTCATTGCAATAATATAATTAAATATACTATGGTATAATTGACTTTATTTTAATTTATACAACACAATTAGAAGGTTAAAAATAAAATTTTTATTTTTATCATTAAAAAATTATCAAATTACTAAAATGACAGTTTTTTTAGGGGTTGTTTTTTGAAGATGAAATAAAAATCATGTTGAAAATATATATAAACCCTATTACTGTACATTTATATTATTTTCTTGTTTTTTTATGTATCCAATCGATGTTTTTTAAACCAATATTTATTTTAACAAGAAGACCAAAATCTGTAATCGTTTACATTCCATAGTTATTATATAGATATGCAGGGGTTTGGCATTTATGGCCAAAAACCTGGGATTGAGCCATTTGTATATAGCCACATATTTTTATAAACTTCATCTAGACACATGGAACACTCTGTATGTGTTTTCGTTGTTTGGTATGAATTACTATCAGTTTTTGAAGATCATGCGATTATTGTTTTAAGCATATGTCATTAACATTATGAGATTGTTAGATGCGAAAATCTCTTACAACTTCGTCCTGACATTACAACTATGTTAGAAGCACCAGTCTACTTGGATGTGACCACACACTCGAACCTGTAATGTGTACCAACTGGCTTTCACTTCGACCTATCATTGAAATGATCCGTCAAGTATATCACAATAAAAAAACAACCTTAAAGAAGTGCCGGGGGCTGCGGAAACGAAATGTAAGCAACAACACTTCCTGAAAACATGAATAAAAAGTGGTCTACACCACTAGAGTATTCTTCATATGTAGAAGGAAGAAAGGTCTTTATCAGGAAGGAATCATTATCAGTAATCGGAGTTCATTTCCGTAGCTCGTGGCGATTACCCAAAGAACGAAATTCTAATTTGACATAAGCGCTCAGTTCATTTCGTAGAAGTGGAAAAATCTCTTCGTAACTCCCACCCAACTCGAGCTGTAAAGCTCAAGTGGCATTAAGAAGTACCAAAAAGCTCTGGGGAAAATAAACATATATAAAAAAATAGCAATAGTAGCTGGAAAATGCACAACCTCAGGGGGGAAGATTTTGCACAACGCGAACACGAACCAATTATCGCACTCAAAGGCGCATTTACTTCAAGATAAAGGCCGTCTAATTATACGGTAAAGCACTAATGCTGGGCTCTGCGGCTTTTGAGTTCTCGTTCTCAGTTCTCTCCATCACCTTCCCCTCGCCAGTACACGTCTCGACATCCCAGTCCACGCTGATGGATATGGGACGAACCTGGCGAAGAGTGTGACTCTCATACGGAGGGTAGGAAGCGGTTCAGCTCTTACAAAAACCCTCAATCAAGCGTTATTATGTACATCATTATAATCTAACAGGAAAAGCTGTAGCACCCGAGAATGGTAGGACTCGACAGCCCAGCACCTCAGCACATAGCAAGCGACGATGGCTCCCATCGTAATGAGCGCAACAGCAGAGTTGTTCAGCTATGGACATGGATGGACCCATCCTTCGCGCTTGACCAGCACAGTGAGTGCACTGGAGTGGAGTGTTTGCTCGTCATGATAACGATACGGGACGTCAGTAGGTGCAAATTCCCACGTAGCTGAAGTGTCCTGCCATGCCAGCTGGTGAAACTAGAATACAATTTTCAATAAATTGATTGATATTTACACCCGAAGAAGTTGACTTCCTCATTGCGTTGTCAAGGGAGCAAGCCTTGCGAGGTCTCTGACGAAGATGTAACGGAAGGTACTGTTGTATGGAAGCCATTCCACACAGTTCGCAGCATTCTTTTGAGATTTCGATGAGAGGAACTTTTTGATCGCTGCCTGCTGCTTGTCGCTCACAAATTGGCAAACCCACTCGAGAAGGTTGGAGTGTGCGATGGAGCATTCCCGGGCATACCACTCCAAAATTCTCGGTAGAAGCACTCGACTTCCACTTCGGATACCAATGCTGGCTTGTAGATAATCTCTTCTGGCACACTCGAGCTCTTGTCGCACGTGTTTTGCGCTGTAGACCCGAATCTGCGGATCGTCACAAACAAATAACACACAAAATCTGTTTAATCCTACGCACAAAGCAGTTCAGCTGTAGCTAAAATTCACTTTCAGCCGCACTCTGTCCGAAGAACAGCACGGGCAAATCACGGAACATTACTTTGCGTCTAGAAAAATTTAGTGGGGCACTTGGACTTACCGCAGGATCTGATCGACCACCACAGCAAAGGGCAAAGCACACTAAAGGTTCGACCTTGTCCAGGGCATAGGATTTTCGTTCATCTCCTGATTTGAACTTGGATGCGGTCGAGAAAAACGTTTGAAGCCACTGCGTTGAGACAACACCCCACAATCCCGAGCACGTCAGTAAAAACTGGGAAAAGGCAATGTCACTTCGTTTGTGCTCTCACTTTTTCCTAGCTTGACGTAGGATTCCAGGTCTTAACCAGAGTAGGGATAAACTGTCCTCTCTTTCCATAAGCTCAACCAAAATGTAGAGCGAGTCCACTCACGACTCATACTTCAAGTACCTGAGTCGGTCTCCGGGATCGACAGCCGAGAATGCAGTGCTCGATCATGTGTGCATTGATTGAGTGAGGTCCGACTTTGTATGAAGCCTGCAGTAATTAAATTGTATTTGAAGCTATAAGAAAGCAAACCACGAGCTACAAAGCTGGTGAATTTCACGTGAATTCGAAGAACATCATCTTTGCTCAGGGCGGCAAATTCACTAATTAATACAGACACTGCAGTTGGCCTGACGCATGGTCCTCACCTTTTGCACGAGGGAGAGTCTCTTCAAGTGGCTGCGAGGAATTCCGTAAGCCAAGTAAGCCTGCAATCCAAAACCTCGAAGGTCAGGAGAACTTCCCACAAGATTTTCTACAGCTGCGGCAATCCGAGAGACAAGACTCGATACGTACAGGACATACAGAGGCGAACACCACAGATCTACCCATCCCACAGTCTCGGCGGTAGCAATAAATTCGGTGCCGCCGCACGAGTACTTCGAAACACACTTCTCAGGAAGCGCGTGGTCTAAATGTCAGTGCGTCATGAGACTGCACCGACGCAGACGTCGATCTCTGGATAGTACGCAATCAATGGAGGATCAGAACAAATTCTATGGTGTACGTGTCGTATAAGTCCGGATGGTCAGACTAATACGGCCAGCCCGTATTTTCGGAAATTATGCGTATGATGGCAGAAGCATGAAGGCTGCTCTAAATCCGCACCCACCCATTCAAAGCGGCCAGTAGACAACCGTACACTGGGGGTTCGAACTTAACCCCGAGAATGAAGTTTACGTCAGAGGCCGCACAGGCGGGACACGGCAATGAAAGTTACGACTCACGAGACCGACCGACCGCTGTGCCGCATTCCAGTTGCGGCACAAACAACGCGGCTGCTCGCTCGAGCATAACGTGGAGTCCGGAAGCCGGAGGCCGGAGTCCGGACAGAGCTCGGGGACGCCGCAAACCTCGGCTGGTCGTGAGCGGACAAGCATCACGAGGACGACATTGCTGGCAAACTGACGTTGCCTTCGCCGTATCCCACGGCGGGACGTGACGGGACGCGACGGGACTCAACGCAGCCGCAGTCCAGCAGCGGCCCTCGCACGGCACGGTCCGCGCAGCCCGGACTAAACCGGTGACCGCCAGGTGTTCGATCCTTCTTCGATCACCCGCGGTCAAAGCGAATCATGGTTGGAATTCATGCGGCTCCAGGGCTCAAGGGCGCAAGGCTCACGGCAATTCTCTGCTCGAGGTTATGGGGCGCAATCGGCGGGTCGAGGTCGCGTGCTTACATGCATCATGAGGGCGTTGTACACGTTGATCCAGAAAGCCATTTTCTCCTCGTGCTTCATGAGACCGGGATCGACCTTCTCCAGCTGCTCCACCATGGATCTGCAAAAAGAAAGGGGGGACACGGGCAGTTTGCGCGCTTCAGAACGGAAATCGAGACCGGCGTCATTCCGTGAACACGACAACGAGAATTGCGACTGATTGCGACCGGTTGCGCCGGTGGCCACTCACCGGAAGTTTCTGAGTGCACGAGCGGCGTAAGTGAGGCGGTCTTTGTCGACGCAGATCCACGGGACTTCGACGGCGGAGCTGTATGCTCCCACTACGTCCCCCTTGCGATCCTTGAGCTGGAAGGGGTCCACGAGAGCCGCCACTTCCGAAGTGTTGTCAGCTCCTCGCCATCCCGGACTGCCGGCCCAGCTGTCGGTGGAGAAGCCTCGCGGTGAAGACGAGGTCGTTGTCATCGACGAGCCCGAGGAGGACGATGAGCAGGATGAGGGTGAGATTGGGGCCGAGCTGGCTGACAGTGGCGGATCTGCGAGTTTGCAGTATATGGCTGCCATGCACCTGACCAACTCCTCCGACAGCCTGTTGGGAGTTCCCGGGTACAGCCTCGGGCTCTCCGAGTACTTTCCGAACCCACTCTCCGATGCTGGAGCTGAGTGAGGACCTGAACTGAGTAGAGCCAGCGCCGTTGTTTGAGGTGATGCTAGAAATGCTTCCTGAACACATGACTCCACATGCTCATGGTCAACTTCGACGCTTCAGAAAGACAAGACATTGATCAAGCCGTGCTGCTCCTTCGACAATATCACGACTTCTTTTGTAACGAGCTCAAATGAAGCAAGAATTTTGAAATATTCTGTCACTCGGCATATATGCATATGCAGTACGAGATTGAGAGGCTCCAACCGATACGTAGACTACATCACCCAATCCCGACACCTCGACGACTTATTATGCAAGGCAACCAGAAACCACCAACTGCAACATAGATGTTGCAACACAATTGGAAAAGTGCTTATAGCTTACCTTCTTAGAATTTTCTCTAGAAGTTGCAGCCACAATTTCTGACTTCCCTTGTTCCACCGAAGAGGTATTGGGATCTTGAAGCTACAGATACGAGATACAAAAATAGATCTAGTTAAGATCAACATGATTCTCTACCATGATACGGTACTGTGAAGAAACCAGATGCTATGCTAGCAAAATAGCACAAGCAGATGCTGCTACTACTACTCACTTTCTCGAACGAGAAAGTGACTAGATAGAACATGAAGCATACCACCAAAATTGTGGACGACGAGGAGAGCTGCTGTGAAGTTTCTTGCGCCGAGCTTCCATCGATACAGTTAAAGGCTCCTCCCAGCAGCGAACCATGCCTTGATTTGGTCTGGAACGCAGAGGCCACTTCTATCTGTGTCTCATTAGTGCCAGAGGTAGTGGCAGAAGACACATTGCGGCGATGGGATGATGTTAACGCTGCGCTTTTGCGCTTGAGCGAAATTTTGGAAAAGAGTCGTTGTTGCGCTGGGGCGCTAATATCTGTCGGTGTTGATAGACCCGATAAATTCGGTACATTATGCACAGAGGACACAGAAGACAACGGAGGAGATGTACACATCTGCTGATCTAGAACCTTTCGGTAGAGAGACAGAACGTGATGCTCCAAACTCGCCACTTCAGTCTCGAGATTCGCAATCTCTGTAATCAACTCCTTCGCCTGCACAGTCGGACATTGTTCAGCTCTCGTTCGGTTTACCCAAACTGCCAGATGCAAACCTGAAACGAACTACTTACTGCGACAATAGTACAAATCAAGGAACGTACCTTTGGAGAGAAGGTAGAAGCCGGAATATCTCCGGGCAGCGATATTGGAACTCTTTTATTGCTTTGACCTTGACCCAAAGCTCTCTCTAGGCCTTGTCGCACTGCTCTCTCCGTCTTGAGCTGAGTTTGCAAGTGAGCCACCTACTCACATGAAAAGGGAAACATAAGCCCATCGGCTATAAAGAATGGTCTTCCACATACACCAGATCACGTGTGTCGAAGATTGAAAACAACTGCAAAGACAAGTCTGACTCACATCTTCTTCCAGAGCAACCCTGCGGTCGTATAGAGCCCGCTTCTTCTTGTCTCCATTGTTCTTCTTCATCATTTTCCATTTCCAACCCTGCCAATTCTGCATGAAGACAGGGAAGATGCAACGAGTTAGCTGAAGGAAGAAAACATTCGAGAACATAGCACTACCAAAGTCAACTCGTCATCTGGACCGTCGCTTTCACAAGTCATGGTCATCCTCGCACATCAGCTCACTATTCCCGCATCATCGAGAATTTGTGAGTGCTTCAGATAGAAACCATCCTCAGTCAAAGTCACTATCCCAGGTTTTCGTCCTCATAACACATCCGATTGCTATCACGAAAAGCTATCTAGAAAGGTTCCAACGCGTGGGCTGAACACCACATACCTCTTTCAAGTGCTGAAATGCGCCAGGGGATAAATCCCATGGTGCTGTAGTAGCTGTAGCCTCTGCCGGAGCACTGTGCACATGAGCAGCTTCTTAGGATCAGTTCTCACTCTAGGCCTCAACATGAAAACAGTCAGACATTAAATTTCCACTTATCTAGTTCATCCCTTACAACTAGACTAGTAACAGTCAGTTTGGATAGCAAAAGTCGAGTAAAAGCACGGAGCACGAGTGTGCTCCGCCCCGCCTCAGAGCACTCAGGATGACAATTGCGGCGCTCACATGTGCAGACTAGCGAAAGATTCTTTCAACTTAAACATCGTTCTACTCTTCGACCAGGAACCCAAATCCGAGCGAAACAACTAAACAACAAGGCTCGGCCCAGATCCCGCCGTCTCTCCGAAACCCCTGCTGTCCTTCCTCTCTCGATCCCCCGGATGGAAAGGTCCAACATGGTTCTACGATCGTGAGAATACACGAGGACCGCGAGTGAGCGAGGTTCTAGTGCTGATCTACAACACTTCCTCGCCACCAGAACCATCCGCACTGACTTTTCCTCGCAGGCATATACTGAGAGGAACTCACGGAGGCCGAGTGAGAGCCGTACACCCTGCTCAGCTTAAGTTGTACACCCACGAATGTGAGGTGACTGTACGACAGGGGTGCCCTTGGCATGAGGCGCAAGCTCGAGAGTTCGCACAAACGCGCTTCAACCACTCACACATCCGGAGGAATTCCTAGAGACAACCACGCTGAACTGCGAGGAGTACATTCGACTACTACGGCGTCGAGTCCTGTCAGGCCTCTGTTTGTTTCGACCAGTATGCATCCATCCATTCGCGGTAGCTTCTGGCTACAGGGTCGATGAGAAGATTGGCTTTGTCTGGGCACAATGCAGTAGACCGGTGTCAAACACCAAGCTCAGACGAACATTCGGCACGCAGAAGTTGCTCGTGAGCTCCATGAGAAGTCACTCGTGCCGAGTACGGGCGGTGATGTTCTATCAAACGCGGATACACGACGCCCAGAAATGTTTTCCGCTGTCCCGCGCAATAGTCGACTCGAGCTAAATCTAGAAATTGAGCCGGGAAAGGAAGGATGGGCCAACCTCAGCGATCGGCAATGTCCCCTGTTGACGGTGGTTGAGACATCTGAGACCAGGAGGGTGGGCATTGGGAAAATGATGGAAGAGTCCTCCGGGAGCAGATCGTTCTGCATTTTGTTGCTGAAGGACGCCATCTTCATGAGCGTCATTTTCTGCCCTCCCTGGGCTCAGCAGCAACTGGCACCTGCGCACACCAACCAAGCCCCACGCTAACCTCCGATTAACCCCAAGGCTCTGACGGAGAACACGACAGACTTTCACTTCTCCTTCTCAATCAATCAATGCTGCTGCACGACAAGCACGCCAGAGAAAACAGAATGGACGATTGTCTAGCACACCGAGCGGAGCTCCCTTCAATTTGAGTAGAAGCACTCGCCTTCTCAGCAGCAACCTCGAGCTTCCTCCAATCGAATAATACGTTCTGCCAGAAAATGGAAAATCATTTCGTCTAAATAAACAATCTCTACTCCACGAACGATTTGATCGGTTCGAGTGCCATCGGCAAATTCTTAATCAGGAGCCGTGAGCCAACGGATGAAGTTCTGTCACGTCTGCAGCCCTCGCGTATCGTCACCACTCAGCTGACAGCTGCTCGCTCACCTTATTTTCACGTCTCTGCTACCACACTCCCCTCCCCTCCCTATGCTCTAAAAATCTACTGCTCTGTTCTCCTCGCGAAAATCCTTCAGGCCCCACCGTACGATGTCTTCCTCCTCGTCGGCCTGCTCGCCCTGTAACGCATTCTTGCCCGAGCAAAGTTCAGCTGCGAATCATCACACAACCATCACCACCATCATCATCATCACCACCACCACCACCACCGGGACAACGACCCGCAGTCTCGGCAACTTTTTTTGGGCTTCCAGAGAGTCGATCATTCGCTTGCGACTCCGCATTCGCCCACGGCTCCGTCGCTCTCAAAATCTCTAGCTCTCGTTCTCTGCTTCCTAGTGGAAGCAGCAAGCAGTCGTCGTGGTCACAGGAAGAAGATTATTATTTTTCTGTACGCAATCTACACCACTTGGGCGCGAGCGAAGTTCAGACGCAGACGCTGACCCGAAGCCAGCTCGAGCTCGATCGCAGTGCAGGTGCAGGTGAAGGTGAAAGTTGCGCGGCTGCCACCGAGCTGCCATGTCATTATCTGCTGCTCCCACCCGAAGCCATCGCTCTCGACCTTCCACATTTCCTCGCCTGCTCATGCAGAAAGCCGAACGACGCAAGACGAACCGCTTCCTCCCTCCCGAGTCCACACCACTCCCCCCACCCTCTGCTCTGCTCTGCTCTACTCTACTTCTCTGCTGTCTCTATGCTACTGCTAATGCTATTGCTCATGCTATTGCTATGCTACAGCGCAGCTCGCTCGTCGGTGGATTGCAGCAGCAGCAGCAGCACAGGGACCTGCGCGCGCGGGAGAGGGAGAGAGAGGGAAGGAGGGGGGACCCGAGGGGCGGGCACAGGCACGAGAGAACTCAAGCGCATGGCAGCGAGCGAGCGCACGAAGAAGAGAGAGAAGGCGACGAGGACGACGCAAGACGCAAGACGCAAGATGCAAGACGCAGAAGAAAAGCGGCACGAAATGCGGTCACGCATTCACCGCAATACGGCAGCTTTAACTAGCCATCGCACCCCATCGCCCAAACCCCCACTTCGCGGCTACGTGCCGTCGCTCGAGCCGGTCATTAATTCCCGACAACCCGCCTGCTGACCGGTCAGGTCGTTTTTATTTGTCGCTAACTGGCTGGCCTGCCTGTTAAATTTGGCCCGGAATCTAGCCGGACCTGCCACCCTGACTCCCCCTTCGCGGGACGTTAGACTGCTGGTGGAAGAAGACTCGGGTCCGCATCATGATCGGGGGGACATTATAATGATCGCTTTTAAGAGCCGCGATTAATTACGGCTCCCCCCGGTTAGCCAGAAATGCTTCCTCCTTCTCTCCCGCTGCGTAACGCATGTTCCCCGGGAGCGCTACCGCCAAACGAATTATGCACCACGCGTCATACTCGTATTATACATTACTCGTATGCTATACCCCAAGGCTACGATGTCATTTTCTCCTCCCCCATGCAATTTGCTCTGCCTTGCCCCTCTGGCAAGCGCAGTCAAAAGCCGCATCTTCCCACTTTCCTTAAAATAACCATTGCGAATCTCGCCGTAAAATAGCATCGTGCCCTTTACACGTAGCGGCAGCGAGTGGATCTTATGCGGCAGGGCGGCAGGGATTGGAGGCTGCGAGAACCGGTCAAGCCTCTCTCGGATTTCTCTTCACGCGAACGAAAGCTCGCGAGAGCTCGGGCCCCATTTTCGTCGCGCAGTATCGGCAAATTGGGAGACTCGATCTCGGGCTTGATTTGGGCCTTTGGCCTTCGAACGGCTACTCGGCCTGTAAATGTCGAGCGGATCCGATCGCTCCTCATCAACGTGACACACCTAACTCGATTCTATATTGCAGCCCCGGGGCGAATTATTGCCCGGTGGGGTTGAGGAATAAATGTACGCTGAGTAGCATCGGCGCAAAAGGTCGGAGTGCGAGGTGCTGCAAAGCTCAAACAAACGGGGATTCAATTTTGAACGTACCCGAAGCATGAACCCTCGATTTTATTATTACCTTCCGGTGTTCCTCGGATCGCCATCCGGTCTCCAGGAGCATCTTTCTTCGGTGTCCCAGAAAAAACAACCATAAAATTGGCCTCATCTTGTGGAACAACATCAGTTAAGAGCCAGTTTTGTCTCATATACTACCGGTGCTAACCAGTCACCTCGGTCCAGAAATGAGCTTAAAATAAAACATATAAAAATAGATTGAGGATGATTATGCCACATAACTGAAGATGTTGATTGGCTTTCCAGGCTCTATGGTTTGCTTCAAGCCCTATCGGCCTATTTGGAGCTGGAAAGAAAGTGAAAGTGAAAGCGTAAGTCGCCCGAGGGTCATGCTCATAGATGACTGGATTTTTTGGGGAAAAAATTGCTTTGATGAAGGTGCGATGGAGTTTGGAGATCTTGGGCTACTTTTGTTACTTGCATTATACAGAACTTGGAGTGTGGACGACGTTGGGCTCTGAAATGGACATTTTTTTCGTTCTTACTTTCTCTTTCAACTGAAAGTTCAATCACATGATGCCAACACGTCGGACGAAAGATTGCATCATCTGGTGTGTGAAGTGACACTCAACAGAAAATCGAATATTGGAAAAAAATTCTACAAAGTGGATTTTGCGTTTATGATAGTGTAGATTGTCCGAAGATTTTTCGCTTAGAAGTTGTGGCTTGAGAAATGATTTTTTAACCCTTTGGCATCAAGCTTGTAAGATGCAAGGCGGGTGAAATAAGTGATATCCAATATTCAAATGAGGAGCTCTTTGTCTCTGTCGCAAAGTGTGACAGATATTTCACAAACGATTTTATGAAGGGTTCTTATTTATGTTGTGGAAAATATTCAAATCCTGATGCAAGATCTTGTGTTCTATATACTACAATCCACCTCATTCTTTGATGGGAATCTAAGTACTGAAGTTCATTTAATCTGCATATCCAGTCGCTTGAAAAAATTAATTACCGGTCACGTTGGTTACATGATGCATATAGACTTTTCTGCTTTTGCACGTGTTAATAAGTTTTCAAAACATTCATGTTAGAATATATGAGCAAGCATCAAGTGAACAATGTACAAGCAAAAGCGATGGAAAACAAGTATTATAGAAAAATAATATAACATCTAGATATACCCATTCAAACCGTTACAGTAATCTCGATGTGCATTCATATGAACAAATGTATAAAATTTGAAACTTACGAATAAAGATTCATCAAAATATAAAGTAGTGATGTTAAACATCAAACGTTAGATTAAACTCATATAAGTATTTCAAAATATATGGCATAATAAAATTCATCTTTTCCTAAAAATAATGAATAAGTCAGTATATGAAAACATTTCAATCAACCAAATAGAAGGAAAATTTGAAACTCATTTTTTAAATGAAAAATATATTTTTTTAAATAAACGAAATTAATATAGTAATAATGATAATTTGAATTGATTTTAATCCAAATCATGTGAAGATAAAATGATTTTGAATCATAAATTGATTCAAAATATTTTTGAAAAAATGAATCTTCATTAGGCTTATACTGGTAGTTATAAACATCAAATATATCATTATATTTCATCTGGATGACTAAAAATAATACAAATCTTGATGGACACTTTCATAATATTATTGACCAAATTATGTAGAATTTGCTGTCAAGAATTATGTTTATTACATTATGCAAAATGAATTTAACAAATTTGAAAAAAAATATTTATTATATTATATTATATGAATATTATGTCCTACTGTACTTCTTTGTTCAAAAAGTATATAATTTTATCATATTTATTGAAATTAAATCTAAACTTTGTAAGCATGGAAACATACCTCAATCATTCAACGTATAAAATATATACAAAGTCTGAAATTTTATAATTCCCAAAATATAAATAAGCCTTCAATATTTTTCACTAAGTATGACTATTGTATTTCAAAATAGTAAAACGAAAATGCTTAAAAAATACTTAAAATTGTATAGCAATATACTTATAATCTCGATGTCCATGTTGATCAGTGAATTAAAAAATGATATTTTAAGATGAATGTGAGGAATGGAATAAATGAAGGTTAAGAAAATCATATAATCTTTCTCTATCAAATTATAATATAATTTTCACAACCTTTTTTCCAAAATAAAAAAATGTTCACACAAAATTTCAATTTTCAAAAGTCACAATTTTAACAAGACAAATTTAGTTCTCAAAAATCTACTTTTATGGAATATTAAAGCTTAGACTTTTTCTTTTAAAGGTTTCAATGAGATTAAGATTTAATTTTTTGATGGATTTATTGAAAAAAAATCATATTCATGAGTTACAAGTGAGTTAGCAATTTCATCATATGTGATTTGCTTTATCGTTCAAGCATTGTAATCATGATGTTGAGCAATAGTTAGTACTCAATTTTTGAACAATTCTGATATTTTCAATTCTTTAGCATAATTGATATGTTAACGCATTCATATATCAAATGTTTATACACATGTATCGATCAATGTATGTTTCATACATGAGATATTTTTCATCAAACATATCAAATCTCAACAAATTTTGTTACATTATTTGAATTTTATAATAAAATTCTGACACGAAAATTTGATTTTGAAATACATTAGTTGATATGTTTTCAACACTATCTTCAATTTTGACATTTAATGAAGAAAAAATAAATCAAATGGTATCATTCAGATTTATAATCCTTGCAACAAAAATCAATTTAAATATCAGCTTTTTTGGTTCTTAAAAAATCCCATTAACTTAATTATTAATCACATTGAAAAATTATAAATTTAATAAATGCAATAAAATTATCTGCAATCATTTACAATTTCATACCTTAAAGCTAAAAGCAAAACTCTAAAAGCTCTAAAATGGAATTTTTATTTATCAGCTAAAAAATGTATAAATATACATAGCAGATTTTTAAAATATTGAAATATATCATAGTTTCATAAATTATGTTTTATAATTTTTTTAAACAAATATATGATATGCACTACTAATTTTATTATAAAATTTTAAAAATATGTAAAAACATGATACAACTTAGCGTTATATATTGAATATCTTAACAAGTCAATAATACAATTTTATTTGTTGCTTGAATGATTTATATGGCATTTTCAAATTTGTGTGACAAATAAATGTTACATTACAATCAGATTATTTTTTGAGATATACAAACAAAAATCAATTCATTACGTATGATATTTTTCAAATTTTCAAGATTTTTTTTTGAGAATAACTTTGAAAAGCTGATAATAAATATCTAGCTTTTTTTTAATCAAGTTTCATCATTTATTGAGTTTTTTATCATACTTTTCATCAATAATACATTTTTTTCATATTTTTAGGATTCTTTAATATGCCTTGATCAAATATAATAATTATTTCATATTAATTAATTAAATCTAATTAAATTTATAATCATAGATTTCTTTTAGAGCTGCACTTAGAATCACAATCTCATATAAGTTTGCTATATGACTTAATCTTTATTTCAGCATTAATAAATAATTTTCATTGATTCTTATACTGTTTATTGATATTTATTTATTTATTTATTTATATTTGATTGACATACTATTTTTAGTTATTTTTATAATAATTCAAAATTTTATATACATATCACAAGAAATGTAATGCAAATATTAGATGAGTTATGACTTATTATGTTAGTTTCCAAAATCACTACATTGGCAATGTACAAACTTTTAATTCATGATACAAGGAGCAAAATTGTGGTTTTTTTATTAGATTGTAATCCAAAGTTTGCAATGTAACATTTTTTCTTCATTTTTGTAAAGTTAATGTTGAAATATACATTTGTTTACGATTAGATTATAATAAAAA